TTATTCTTAGTGGTCACTTGATTCAATTGTCTGTAGTCAATACACAATCTTAACGACCCATCCTTTTTCCTCACGAACAACACTGGCGCTCCCCATGGAGATGCACTCGGGCGAATAAAACCTTTATCCAGCAACTCCTGCATTTGGACCTTCAATTCCTTCAATTCCGATAGCAACATCTTATAGGGCACTTTCGAGATCAGTTCTATCCCTGTGGCTAATTCAACCACAAACTCCACTTCCCTCTCAGGTGGTAATCTCGGCAATTCCTGAGGAAAGACATTGGGAAGATTACACACCTCGACTACGTCCTTTAACCTTGGTTCTTCAACCAACTAGTCAGCCACAAAATAATTATCTTTCTATACCTCAAAAACAAAGCTCAATCCATCTAATTTCAATCCAACAGTCTCCCAAAAACAAATCACATCGGTTCTTTACAAAATCTGAAATTTCCAAGCAACGCTCATCCTTCCAAACCCGTCCAAGAATATCATCAGTAATCCATAAATCCTTAAACCGATTACACCTATTCACTATAAGCAATTATACGTCGTACATGACCATTAGAGTTACAACTTCAAAATCATCGCCTATTGTACCCAATATCAACACGTAACGCCTTTAGACTTTCGCGGCACATCCTTTGATTCCTTCCCCACCACAACGTACATCTTTCCTTACGTCCATAGTCAATTTTGATTAATCTGCAGGGCAGCTCTCGCTTAATGTCCTACCTGCGGTCGCTGCGATTGCATTAGTGACCTAACCTGTCGGTTCAACAATTTCTCACTTGGTGACCTTACTGTCCACATCCACAACATGCTCCACTTCTACCTTGGCAATGGCCATTCCTATGCCTCTTTCCGTAAGACCGACATGCAGCATTGAAGTAGTAGTTCGACTTTCCAAAGTTCTTTCTTACTAAAGAGACAAATTTCCGATTCTCTATCATAGGCTTCTTTTCAAAGTTCCTATTGTCCCTAGCCGGCGCGTACCGCGATCCAGAAGCGGCAGCTCTTTTCACTCATATCCATTTCAACCATCGAGCCCTCTCGTACAACTCATTGTAATCCCTTAATACTCAAAGTACTAACTGATTGCGGAATTCCGGTTCCAATCCATCCCGAAACCTCCTTGTCCTATCCATATGGTCCTTGACCATCCTTGGTGCGTACTTAGACAACCTTACAAACTCGACCTGATCGACTGACACCCGATTTTAGCGAAGCCGAGGAAACTGTCTTTTTCTGTTCTCGCGCATTCTCCGAAAAGTGCTTCCCATTGAAAGCCTCGACCAAAGCACCCCGATACTTCAAAGCCTTTTTTTCCAACTCTTATATCCAAAGTGATGTAGCCTCGAAGTCACTTTTTCCATCAAACTTCGGAGGTTTCAATTTCAAAAATTGCTCAACAGTTATTGCATCTGTCTGACTGCATTAACTTGCCCTTGACCTTGATTCCCATCATTCCCATTAAAATTCCAACTTCTTCGAGTACCCTCAGAATTCCATCCACTCTGGGATCCTCTGCAACTCCAGCTTGCGGACCTACACGACCTTGACCTCAACCTCGTCCTCGACCTCGACCTCGACTGCTCAAACTCACAGGGTCACACCACTCACTTACCTGCTATAATTCCCCTCAGGAATTAAAGACCTAAGCCAACTATACCAGTCTAAAGCCCTAGGTAGTGAATCACAACAATAATTCACTAAGCAGGCAGCCAATCACAAACAACACCCAATCACAACCAACAAAGTTCGTGCACTTACCTCAAGTCCTGACGCGCCTGCATTTCGCACGTTATTGCATAAAATCACTCAGCAATCACAATCAAACAGTCTGGGGTACGCATGGCACACAAATCTCCTTAACTGTCTACCCCAAAGTCATCGCTCCTTATCACTCCAGGCTTCGACCATCTTGGATCGAGCTGACCTTGCTCTGATACCAAATCAACAGGGATGTCACGCCTCGAACCCCAACGGGCTCGCAACACCCCTCGATGGTCGATCATTGAACGCGACGTCCCAGGACGCGTCGCCGACCCAAACGAACTACGCAAGCGGAAGCAAAATAAAACAACCCAGACAACTAACAAGATGACAAAAGGATAGCACGAAACAATAATTTCATAAAGCAGTCATTAATACAAAACAGTAATCCAGGCTACCAATTTAAAAACCACAATTTTCAAAAGGGGGCGGTGGTTTACAAGCCTATCTCCTCTACAAAAATATACTCAAAAGACAGGGTAAATTGATCTATCCTTCAATCCCTATAGTACTCTGGCGGCATCTTCAAGTCGATCACGGTCGCGGATCTGAAAGTGGTTATATAATAACCATGATAATATTTCTCAATAAGCAGACCCCTAAACCCCACATAGGCCAATGCGTACCCAGACAAGTCTAAAAAGGCAATCTAATTATTCACATAACAAATTTCATATAATGTACTTACCTTGTCTCAAATCACACGCTAGCTCTACACATTAGTCAAATCACTGTAATACAATAACACTTCACGTACATATCACAATCACTCGAACGTCATTCACACGTACATTCACCAATTCCATTAGGTACAATACACATGCGCATTCATCTAACTTTTTCATGACCCGGGTCAACACCCCACAGGTCCTTTCTCGCCACCCGCGTCAACACGCTCCAGGCTGGCAGCCCTCCGATCAATCCGGGCTTTGTTCCGCGTCAACACGCTCCAGGACCATTCTCACGACCCGGGTCAACACCCTACAGGTCCTTTCTTACGACCCGGGTCAACACCCTACAGGTTGGCAGCCCTCCGATCAATCCGGGCTTATTCAATCAACCACACACGCCATACAATTCACTCTAACCAAGTGTCGGTCACACGTCAAGCTAACACAAGCACATCTATCACTGTAATTCAAGCTCACATAGACTGTGTCAACCCAATCACAAGTGACCAACATGAATGACAGCCAATCGAGCATTGAATCACACACAAACAACCAATGCTCTTGACATAGATTCCACCATCAAACAAGCCATAAGTTCAGCCACAATTTCAGCCGTAACCCGCCACAAAATCAGCCACGCTTAGCAAATCAAACAACCGAGATTCTAACAATTAAAATCACAAATGCACACTCACAATCGGTTATCTCAAGGCAACAACAACTAGCCATAGAAACAACGAATATTATACGCCAATGGAGTGTCAAATCAACCTACAAACCCGGCATTAATTCATCGCGACACGACTCGCCACTCCGACACATATTAATCCGCATTTCATTCAATAACCCAACCAACGTCACTTCCTCATCCCGCTAAAATCCAGCCATCAAAATAACCATCGACATATGCGATTCGGGCACCAAATCAGCCCACACATCCAGCAACGCTCAACCGAAACATAGCTCGCCATTCCAACACGATTTAACGCATTTAACTCGATAACCCAACCGATGTCACTCCATCAAACCAGCCATTAAGGCCCGCCATACTCAATCACCGAATCAGCCATAAACAATTCAAAATCCAGCCATCATCAGTCCACAAATCTAGCAACCCAATCAGTCCTTAAACAGCCCTCAATCCACACTAATTGCTCCCTAAACAAGTCTACTAGTACCCAATGTCCTAGACAAAGTTTAGGGAGTTGCTTACCTTGATTTGAGCAATAAAATGAAGCTGGACAGCGGGGAAGTCGTTGGAACAGCGGCGGCGGCGGCGATTGGCGAGGCTCTCGGCCACAGCCGGGCGACAAGGAGGTCCGGCTGAGGCAGCAACAGCTCGGCGGCAACAAGGGAGAACCGGGGCCTCGCCGGAACAGCAGCAGCTCCGGCGTTCGAGCAGCGGCCCACGGCGGCGACGGGAACAGGGGCGGTGAAGGCAGAACAGGGGAGGAGAGCGGTGACCAGAACAGGGGAGGGGATGGTGTCGGGTTGTCGGCCAGGCGGTGGGGTGGCGGTCGGCGGCTGAGGCAGCGACGGTTGGCCGGGGCGGCTCGCGGCGGCGAGCAACGCCGACACGGCCAGATCTGGCCCAAGCCGGAGGGAGAGAGAGAAGAGAAAGGAGTGACGGGGACGGTCGGCTCGGACGATCGGCGGCACGAACAGCGGCTCCGGGTCGACAGGAACACCGGCTAGACGGGCGGTGAGGCGCGCGGCGGCGAACGGCGGCGCGGTGGAAGACACGCGCGCGGAAGGGTCGGGAAACGAGATCTGGAACAGAGGGGGAGACCAGCCGGTCGGGGCGGCGACTGGCGGACGACGGCGCGGCGGTCGAGCTAGTTGTCGACGGCGGCGACGCGCGGCGGCCAGGCGAGCTCAGGCGGTCGGCGTCGGCAGCAGGGAGAAGGAGCAGAAGCAGGAGCAGAACGTGATGCGGGAGGAAGGAGGAAGAAGAAGAAAGAAGGGAGAAGGAAAGGAGAGAGAAGAAGAGAGAGGAGAGAGAGAAGGTCTGAGGAAACAAATGAGCGTGAGGAGACACGTGGAGGGGGCCATCGTGCGCAGCAGAGGGGGAGGAGAGAGAGAGAGAGAAATAGAATAAGAAATAATTTGAACATTCAAATATTATTTGCAAACCGATGGTCCAAATTCAAAATCGAAAACGATCTACCGGTCCAAAATAAGCCTCGCATATAAAAATGGACAAATGCCAAATTAATTAGACCAAAATATAACGAGGAAGGTCTACTAGTCCAAATTCGCACGTGGTCAAAAACTCCCCTTTTTCCATCATTCCTGAAAATCTCAACGTTGGCTACCATAATATTGACACCGTCCAATTTATTTTGTCTCGAAAATCCCGGAAATCGACTGTCAAGTTCGGGATCCAAATAACGGCCAAATTTGATCGAGTGCGATTCTAGCGAAATCTCTAATTTAAAATGATCATCGGGAGTGATCAGTTCCCGGGCGAGATTTTACTATAAGCACACTGACAAATTACGCGTTTTATAAATCCCAAAAATGGGCCGAAATTCGGGATGTCACATTTCAGCTTAACATCGTCAGGTTCCACGTCGAAGAAAATAGGTAGGATCTCTTTTTTATCTTCCCATTTGGAAGTGTTTGCCACGATCTGTGCGAGCTCGTGGAGGCACAATTGGCTTGAAGCGTAGGTTCTAGAGAAGATGGGTATGTAGATCCTGGAGTTGTCGATCGCTCGCTGAAGCGATCCATCGATCCTTTCACCGACACGGACCTCTTCATCGTCTCGGAAGACGCATATTCCAGCGTCAGTCAAGCTATGGAAGAGGAAGTCGGTGAATCCAGCGCGAGTGTCGGGTCCTCTGAAGCTTAAGAACACTTGGTACTCGTTTCTCGATGACGTTCCTGCATCTGAGCTCACCATAGCATTAGTTTGCTCCGCTTGACGGATCTCTCTCTCTCCCCGTGTTAGGGTGTGTCTGGGCTATACGGCTGAAGAAGGGATGTGATCCTTCATTAGGCCTTTGCCATTACTGAAACTCACCTAATGTTTTCAATGGAGAATGTGGCCGCGTCAACATCAACACGAACCTTCAAAGAAATTATGTTCAAGAACATTGATTTTTTAATTCCCCAGTGTGTAAGGAATCGACTTTTTCATACTCTTAGTACTTAAGCTAGCATGGACTATAAACAAATCAGAGGGAATAAAATTGAGATAAATATGAATAAAAATTAAGGAATTGGAAGGAAAATAATTATTTGAGTCACCATGTGAGAGATACTCCCTGCACAGTCCCTCATTCATCCTGTGCATCAAAATGAAAGGAAAATAATTATGGAAAGCGAGGAAGGACTATGTTTTTCGGAGGCTTCCCCCAAATCCGAAAACCCTAATCGGCTCGGCAAGAACGGCACTCAGAAATTCCAGCAAAGGTAATAATCAAAGTTCGAAACTTAACAAGTCGATCAACGCAAAATTGGACCCCACCAAAGGCACTCACCTTGAGAATCAACATTGATGGAGCAAATGAATGTAGTTTTGAGTGGTGTATGTTCCGGGTAGATAAAAGTTTATGCATTTTAGTCCACAGGTGTGCTGTTATGGGTAAAAATAATTTTTTTCTCAAAAAGATAAATATATTTGAATGCTATGTATGCGCTCATTTTTTCTAGCATCCTCTTGTTGATAAATTATTATATACGAGTGTAGTATATATACTAGGGTCAATACCATGAAGAACCCTAAATTGGTACACATGTGATAAATTTACACTAAACTAATTTTTTGATCACGAAAAATCCCAAACTGGTATACCTGTGACAACTAATTTTTTGACCACCAAAAACCCCAAATTGGTATATTTGTGACAAATTTACCTTTGTTAGTTTCCGTTAAATTTGATTAATACAACGAAAAATCACAAACTGGTACACCTGTAAAAAACGGAGGATGAAACTCCAAATCAAACACCAGTCAACCGTCACGTCCATTCGACAAAAAAAAATTTGTTACGTGTTATATAACTCAGCAATTTGACAGTAAAATTTAATGGAAACTAACAGATGATAAATTTATCACCGGTGTACTAATTTTAAATTTTTGATGATCAAAATTAATTTAAAGTAAATTTATCATATGTATATCAGTTTAGGGTTTTTTATTGTATTAACCCTATATGCTAAACTGAATTTTGGTTATGAGGAAATGATGGATTCCACGTGGATCTAGCTCCACCAGACCAGACAGCCCACTTGAGCTTAGTGTACCAATTAGCTACGCCAAATACTTGCTCGTTGCTGGTGGATGCTGCTTTCATTTATCGTCCTTATAACTGTTCATCATGATGTGATGTTTGTACCCATTTGTAAAATTTGTGGTTCATCTTTTTCATTCCCTACACAGTGGACTTGTCAGTCCACTCCAACTTTTCCAAACCTAATGAATATATTTGGCCCGTTCCTCCATTATTTGTGTACCTCCTCCACTTTTATGTGGGGCTATGCACAATTGTGGAGCAGATTTGATCGATCTCATCGATACTTTAAAAGCTCGAATATTGGATGACGACGCTATCAAGAATTGATTGGACATATATTCCCTGTTAGTGCATAGACATATACAAAATCATATCTGTGTTGGTGGAGCATCACATCACTCGTCAAGAAGAAAGCCAATCCCAAAATGCGTGAAGGATGTGGTGGACCCCCGGAAGTAAATGAACCAAAAGGGGGCTCGAAAGTCATGCGTATCACTTGCGTTGCATTGCATTGCTTAACCTCGACTTGTTCACGCTGTGCCCCATGGCCATTTAAATGTATAATAAAAACTCAAAACAAATTCCCAAATATCATTAACTCAGGTTGCGATGAAGGGGCAAAGCTTCTTGCAAGAATCAACTTCCCCGGTAAAAAAAAGAAAAAAAAAAAGAAAACACATAGAGTACCGAGAAAGAGGATTGGTCATGCAAGAAGACAAACTTCTATGAGACTCAGAGAGCAACACAAATAATTGGTCTATTTGTTATTATTATTATTATCAACACAAATAATGTTGAAGGAGCTACGGAAGGTGCCATCGCAGGGGTTATCCGAGATGCTACAGGGACCTTCGTCGACGGTTTTGCTAAGATTGTTCCAGCCTCATCAGCGATTCATACTGAGGCGTTGGCCATGGTCGAAGCCTTGAAGCTGCTTCAGTCGAAGAAAGAGATGAGGTTGCAGCTGGAATCTGACCGTTGTTGAACTCGGACAAGCGGTGGTCAAAGATGATCACGGGCGGTGGGATATCAGTACCATTACAGAAGAAGCCAAATTCTTGATGGGCTCTTTCGAAAATATCACCTTGGCCCATTGTGGTTGGTCCGCGAATCTTGTAACCAATTGGGTAGCTAAGGCATGTAGAATGAATTCCCTACTCTCCTACTCTCCTCTTGAGTGGCCCAATCCCTCCAACCCCTTCGAGAATTACTTTATTTGGATGCCCCGTCGTTGAGTATTTTGTTCAAAATTTCTTAGCTTTACAATAATATTGTTATGTTTTTCGACAGAAAAAAAAGTCATTTCATTCCTCCCATTTAAACAGGCCATCATCATGCAGGTGATTATATGATCTCCAGTGGAGCCACCCTCCACCTTGCATAAAGTAAGAATTGATTATACTCCCTTCCTACTCACCTTTCATAAAGTTAGAATAATTTTATCCTTTTCTTCCTTTTTTCTTATTTATTTATATTCTCGACATGTATTCCAACAATCGTAAATGCCTTCACTTTTTTAGAACCAGTCCTTTGAAATAACAATGATTCGAAGCACTTTTCTTTTTCTATTTTACATTATTTTGGAAACCTAAGGACTTAATCCTGATGCGTAAAATATAGGATTTTCAATCCTAGCAAGAAAGGGAGGGAAAAGGATACTCGATTTCAAGTGAGTAAACGGAATTTTATACTCAATTTCATAGATGCATTTCGAATTCCGGGGGAAGCCATACTCGATGAAAGTCATATGTACAGGTATATCATTCGGGTGCTCGCCTACTTCTGATGACAAGTATTATTAGACAATTATTAGAGAATATTCGATCTTTGAGATCTTTTTATATTGCTCCACTTTCAATCTACTCGTTGGATAGTCTTCAGATTAGCACTCTCCAATCAATCCGTTGGACGAGATTACACAATTGGGATTGAGTAGCCGTTGAGTGATAATATTTTCTCTAACTTGACTCAGCTTGACCTACTTGACTCAGCGGTTAGAGTATCGCTTTCATACGGCGAGAGTCATTGGTTCAAATCCAATAGTAGGTAAACCGGCCAAAACCCGGGTTAAGCCATTAGTTGTAGGCGCTTTCCAGAGGTGGAATCTTCTAGTTCTTCCTATTTGACTCGAAACCTATTGATCTAGCCCGGCATGCCGGCCTGATCTGAAGAATTCATGGGCCGGCAGGCCAGGCGGACGGGGACCGTCGAAGAGTGCCTCGACGCGTCGCAGCCACTACTTCTCCCCCTCGAACTTCACTATCTTCCATCACTGCCTACTCGTCTTTAACGGGTCCATTTTATCAAAAATTATTTACCTTCTGCCTGCCGAAAAAGTAAGCTATTTAAAGATGAATGCCTTGTGACTAAGAGTAGAAGAAGGACATGATATCCTATGATAAGCTTTCGGGAGCAAGAAATTGACATGGATCGTAAAGACGGAGTAGGGGGGAAGGACACTAGAAGTGCCAAAAGTTGTGTACGGCGCTCACTTTGGTGCCAAAAGTTTCATTTGGATCACTTAAATGCCAAAAGTTTACGCCGGCGATCACTTAAGTGCCAAATCGGAGAAAAAACGATCACTTAAGTGCCAACGGCGAGAAATTCCAACCAAATTTAATACGTGGCTTTTGTATTTAAATTTTAATGACACGTGGCATTTCCATGTGTATAATTTAATTTTTTAAATATTTTTTTTCTGAAATTTTTTTCTTTCTTTTCTTTTTTCTTTTTTCTTTTCTTTCTTTTCTTTTTTCTTTTCTTTCTTTCTTCTTCTTCTTCTACCATGGCCGGTGGCCGGAGGCCAGCCACCGGCCATGGCCGGCGTCGCCGGGCGTCGCCTTCCTCCAAGCGAGGCTCGGCGAAGCAGTCGTGGCCTCGGCGAGGGCCGGCCTCGCCAAGGCCACGGTGGCCTCGCCGAGGCATCGCCTTCCTCCGGGCGAGGCCCGACCTCACCGGATCTGGCGAGGCGAGCCCTCACCAAGGCCACGACGGCCTCGTCGGATATGGCGAGGCGAGCCCTCGCCGGATCTGGCGAGGCGAGCCCTCGCCAAGGCCACGGCGGCCTCGCCGAGGCGTCGCCTTCCTCCGGGCGAGGCCCAGCGAGGCCGCCGTGGCCTCGGTGAGGGCTGGCCTCGCCCGGAGGAAGGCGACGCCTGGCGAGGCCGGCCATGGCCAGTGGCCGAACGCCGGCCATCGGAAATAAGAAGAAAGAAAAGAAAAAAACAGAAAAGAAAGGAAAAAAGAAAGAAACGGAAAAAAAAAAGAAAAGAAATGCCACATCAGCCTCCAGCGAGCCAATCAGCTTGAGAAATTAATAAAAAAATGCCACGTCGGATTTCCGACGAAGTGGCACTTAAGTGATCATTTTTCACAACTTTTTGCACTTAAGTGATCCGATTGAAACTTTTGGCACCAAAGTGAGCGCCGTACACAACTTTTGGCACTTCTAGTGTTCTTCCCCCGACGGAGTAGGGAATCTGGCCCCCTTCTTTCTCAAAGTAAACTTTCTTGTGACATTCTGAATTTGACTCACTTTCGTGATCAATGAAATGGATATGTATTTCTCATTTTGTTTTAGTAAGTCTCACCCGGAACTAATCACTCTCGAGATACTGACCAATAGGGAATGGCTAACTAGGAAAAAACGGTACGTGGACCCAAGAACTCGATCGGGAATCGACCTTCGATTCCGAGGAACGACGAGGGAATATTTTGGGCCAATGTGGGTCGATCCAAGTAGGACGACAGATTTGGTTCGCCAACGACGTAAAATCGGATCGCGGGTGATTCCGCTCGCCCAAGAGTATGCGTGGCGAACGATCCTAAACTTATTCCGAACGATCGCGACCTCCGGAACTAGCGATAAATCCTCGCGTTCTCTTGAAAATCGAGACCGTCACGACTCGAGTAACCCTAGGTCGATACGCGTAACCCCTAAAAAGCCGCCCGTTAGTAAGAGACGCTAAAATCGCAATTGGGCGAAATTGATCGTTGAGTTGAATCCGGACTTGAGTGTCGAATTTCACGGACGTACGCGACTAATTTTCAAGGACGACGTCGTATTAGTGTGGCCAATCATATTTGGGATCGGTATGATCGAAAAATTGAATTTTGGACCGGGAGTGGAAAATTACCATTTTGCCCTGAGCCTTAAGCATTAATTCCAAATTATTGGAGGTTAAA